ATTTCTTAAATACTATTATGTTTTTGTATTTTTTTTACATAAAATAATATATTGGCTACTTAAAGTGGAAAATTGTTTTTAATATATAAAATAAAAATATTAATAATAATTTTTTTCACGTTTTTTCTTTTAGTTCAAACAATTGTTTTGTATTTTTTCTTTCTTATTGTCTGATTTTTTACATTCAACAAAAAAAAAACCTCGAAAATGTAATATTTATTGTCTAACCATTTGATTTTATTTAATTGAATTAGTAAAAACGTGTTTATAATCTAAAATTATATATTTAAGCTAAGCATAGATAGCTTTCAATAGTTGAGAACAGGATATTCCACCGAAACACTTTGTACTTGAACCAACACCTTCAAGCAAGAAGAGACAAATTAGATGAACCAATTTTATTCAACTTTTAACTCCCTCCAATATAGTGTGATTTTGACCAAGTTTCAACCTTGCTAGAAAATTGACATCTAATTGTTGCATTTTCCTAATATTATAATTAAAAATGATATAATTGTTGTGTGTTGTCGAGTTAATTTATTTTTTATTTTCCATCAATAAAAAATCGTGATTGATTTGAATTTTAAAATGATTATCAGAAAATTAAAACTTTTCCATTAATTAATAATTTCATATTTAAATAATACAAAATTATTATTATATATTTTTTAAAGAATAATTGTAATAAAAATAACAAATTAATACTTTTTCGGATAAAGATAAAAATTACTTTGTATGTTTATGATATCATCCGGGGTTCGTAATGGACGTTAATCATACATATAACAATGAAAAAATTATCATTTTTAGTAGAGATGTGAAAACGGGTCACCCGGTCCGGCCCACCATGGATTAGTCATTTAGTGAGTCAATCTAACCGTCTCATTTATTAGTGAGCCAGAAAAATTCGAACCCGACCTGACCCACCACGGGTTGGTGAGTAAACGGGTTGGCTCACTGGCTCACTTAATTACAATTTTTTTAAAATAAAAAAAATTACAAACTTTCTACAATTTAAATCTAAACAAATTTCACTCCCAAATTTCACTTACAGGGTTTAATTAATTTTGAAAATAAGAAACTTAAATAATTTTTTCAAGCAAAAACAAAATAATAAATATTTTTTTATAAAATTAAAATTTAATAAAATAAAATAAGGTATGTGGGTTGGTGGGCCAACTCGGCCCACCACAGGTTCAACCAGCATGAGCCGGGTTTAAATGAGCCAGATTGAAATCTGACCCGCATAAAAAATACAATTTTTTCAAACCCAACCCGACTCAAACCTGTGGTGGGCCGGATTGGCCTGCGGATTATGACCCATTTTGACAGTTCTAATTTTTAGTATCATAGTTAAAAATAATATTTTTCTTTGAGCGGATAAAGAGATGCTATAAAATATTGAAAATATTAATAATAAATAGTTTAAAACTAAAGCACTTCATAATTACCTTTGGATGTTTTTATATTAATAACTTTTATATACATATAGTATTTATATAGAAAAAAAATATCACAATTAAAATGAAATCTTAGTAATTAGAATGAAAAATGGATTAAATATGATGATTTTTTTTAAAAAATATAATGAAAAAATTATTAATTTTAATATTTGACGGTCTCGTCATACTTAAATTATTTGATATTTTATCGTTTGTATCTTACAGTTTTAGATTTTTTTATAATAAATTTTCTTATTCTTCCATTTGTAATGAATATTTTATTTTATTATTTAATCAGATTTTAACTTTCCCATCATAATCAACTTACAATTACTTAAACTGTGAAAAAAAATTAAGAGATTTGTTTCAATGATGAAAATTTTTATCCGTGATTATTTTTCTCAATTTTGCCCATTAAAATGTATAAGTAAAATGATTATAGTATAAAAACATAGGCATAACACGGGTAGGATTCTAATATTCACTCAACAATTTCTTAGTGTCCTTCAATGCTATTTTCTATTTGTTTCGATAAGTTGTTTTCCATTTCATCAGGATCACGGATATACTAAAGGTGTTTCAATCTTAAAGTTATTTTTGGGTTTAATCAGTAATTAATATTATAATTAATGCGTAATAAAAAATTTAACAATTATATCTTGTATTTATAGTTTTTTTCTATGAGTTTTTTATTAGATTTAACTTAATTACGGTATAATTTATTTAAATTACTTATCTGTTTAGATTAACTAAATAATTAGTTGATTCTGATTGCAACCAATCAATCCCCTTCATGCTTGGACGATCACTCATGTTATCTCGATCGGTATGCACTGATTGGTACATATAATACATAGGCCTCGAACCTTGAGCTTGAGTTAAGACCACAAGTGAAAAGAGTTTATTACCACTCGACTCAACCTAGAAAATATGATCATTGGCGATGTATGGTTGTGTCGCCCTATGAACTGTGTCTAAGCTTCATGAACTGTTACATTCATTTGGCTTGTCCTTTAAAATAAGACCGTTGACGATAATCGAGTGTGTTGCCTCGTAAATTGCACTGTTAGATCCAACACCATACGTGAACTTCTTCTGAGTCGTGCTGACAAAAAACAGACCAATTATGTCAACTCCCCACTACACAAATGGTCAGGGGGAGACAATGTTGTGAAGTTCAAAAGAAGGCACCTTGATGTCATTTTCATGCTTTTGGCAACTATTACATCTTTCCACAAATTTATATTACAATCGGCCTTGATCGTCGGCAAAAAGTAGCATGCTCACAGTACTCGTGCCTTCATAGCTCGTTGATTGGTGTGCATACCGCAAACATCGTTGTGTAACTCATCCATCACATACTAAGTTTCTTCTTGGACAAACACTTGAGGAGGGGCATAAAAAATTCTCTGTTATAGAGGTCATCGTTGATCGTAACAAAACGAGTGATCCTCCTAGCATCTGTCGATTTGATTGATTGATCGTCCTCCTGGTTCTTCAATAGGGCATAAATTTTTATTCTCCAATCATTTGGATCAATCATGGAGGTTCTCATACATTTGTTGATCACGAGCTTCGCTAACACTTGTTTTATTACGATTTTTAACTGCCTTTTTTCTTTTCCTTCTACTACATTAGATAACAGGTTTGTTCGAACGTTCTCCATTCAAAGCTTATGCTTAATGGTGGCTTCTTCGAATTCCTTCATCAACTATGTCACTTTGTGATAGTACTGGTAAAACAAGTCATTTTTGACTTGATAGCTTCCTTGTACTTGGCCAACCACTAGTTGTGAGTCAATCATGAATTTCAGTCTTTGTGCTCCCAAATCTGTCAGTTTTGCTGTTAGGATTTTATACTTGGCTTGGTTGTTAGACACCTTAAACTTGAAAACCAGGGAGTGTTCCAAGCATACTCGTTTGACCCTTCCAAAGTTATGTATGCTCCTCCCCCCATTTGTCTAACGACCCGTCCATGTACATGGTCCAACATTGGTTGGTTTGCTCGCTCTCAGAACCCAGCATTTCATATGTGAAGTCAGCGAGGTGTTGGCCTTTAATAAAGCCTCTCAATTCAAACTTAAGATCAAACTCTAACAGCTCCACCACCCATGCAATCATTCTCTTTACCAGATCAAGCGTTTTAAGTATTTTCGCGATGGGATTGTTAGTTCGTACGACAACTTGATGACTTTAAAAATAAGGTCCGAGTCGTCGGGCAATAATTAGCAATGCCAGAATGACTTTCTCGATCAGCTGATATCGGATCTTGATGTCTTATAGTACTTAACTCATGAAGTATATTGGTATCTGCTCGAGGTTTTCCTGCGTGAGTTTTGTGTTAATGGCCTCGTCCGATACTAACAAATACAACTGCACCTTTTCATCGTTTATCATTCGAGACATTATGAGAGAGTTGGTGAGGACTGCTTTGACTTCCTTAAATGTCGCTTCACTTTGTTCGTCTCATCTCATCGTCGTATTCTTCCTCATGTCCTTCAAAATTGGCTTTATCCTTTCAATCAACCAAGGTGAAAATTTGAAAAATGAGGTGAGCATACGAACTACCCTCTAAACTTCCTTGAGATTTTTGGGGCCTCTTATGTTGAGATTTTTCTTTTTCCCCCACACGATTTCTTGTCTGCAACTTTTTTTCTCCTCCAAATGTTTTTGCACACTTCTAATTGCGAAAGTCCCTCATATATTCCACCTGCATGTACTTGGCCTCTCTCCCCCTTAGTTGGTTCATGTAATAAGCAGACTTCATACATAAGTTGTACTGAATGGTTTTGGTCATAATGTTGTAATTAAGTGGTGTATGGCCACAACCAGACTAAGGTTTCAGATTTGCCCAAAGAGACTCCTCTTTCTCTTTCCTAACATTGACTAAAGCGATCGATGTTAGGTTATATGGTCAACTTGTTACGAATTAAGCTTCGAATCTTGCTCGGATGGTCGCAAAACAATTTATTAAGTTGGTTGTCAGCAACGAGAACCAAGTTAGGGCTTTCTCCTTCAGAAGATAAAACCTTGCACCAAATGACACCATTCTTTATGTAAACTGTCATTTGGTTCATAACAATCCAAATGTGTTCATCCAAATCATTATACGATGATATCTTCTAGTTATAAGGGATCTCAATTATACCATTCATTTATATAAATATTTGTTTCTCACTTTGTACTCTAGTGAGGAACATGTTTCTGTTTTTAAATTTCTTTCATTTCCCTTAATTATCATATCAAGCAACTAAAACATTTTCTCACTTTTTATGTAGTTTTTTCTCATTCTTTTCTATCCCTTCTTCTCTAAATAAAAAAATAAAGAAACCATGAGGGTTGTAAATTCTATCACAAGTTAAGAGGTTTAATGAGATCCTTTAGATTATCTCAATAATAAGTTATTTGGACGATTGATTTATAATATAATAATATTAAAACTCTGATCAAATTGTTACCTTAAAAGATTATATTACCAAGTAGCTTTGATTATTTGGTATAATCTTATTTATCACAGCTCCTCGGATAGAATATGAACAAGAGCAAGGAAAAAGAAAAAGAAAAAGAAAAGAACTACTTTTATTTCTTGCACATTAAGCTTCGAAGGTTGCCTCAACTAATTAGTGTTCTTCCAAGGCATTTTGACAACAAAATTGGACAGTAACACATTACACAGTGCTAAAATCTACTCTGCCATCTGCCATAGTTTATAGTTACAGGCAAACAGTAAGGTGCCACTGCCCAATGCATCGACTAGTCATACTAATAACAATGGCGAGAAAATGGACCACACTTCCTATTCTGCATATTTAAAGATTGATCACTTAACTCTCTGAATGAGCAATTTGTCTTTGGTCGCATTATGCTTTGCCAAGGTAAAAAGCAATGGCCCTCCATATAAGGTATAGTAAGAATGCAACATATGCAGCAGTTATTGCACCCACTACAGCGCCAAACAAGGGACCGTTAACTTCGGAGGAAAAGAATTCCATCAAAAGATAGCCATTAATCACTATCACCAGAGCAGCCACAAGCCATGATGTAATCTGCATCCATGTCATAAGTCAATTCAGTACTTAATCAGAACAGACTATGAACATAATTTGGGACAGAAACCAAATAAATGCATTCAAGATCCACAGAAAATCCTCTAAAAGCCAAAAAAACTGAGAAATTTCAATGGAGAAAACGCACAGCATCAATTCACCAGATCCAAAAGAACAATGAAAGGAAAGAAGCAAAATTTTAAAACGTATATTTTGTCTACTATACCTAAAGTTATATTATCAAAATGTATGTCAACCTATCTACCCAGGTAATACAACACAGACAGATATTATCTTCCTACATTAATAAATGCAAATCAGTATCAAATGGGGCATCTGTTTCTCCAAACTGTTACAGACAAAGAATTCAAGTGGGAGTTCTTTCATAGATTTGAAATATTGCACGTTAGAGTTCGATTCTAAAGAATATCCAAAATAACAATACATACACTCCACAGTCATAGACCCAGCAGAATGAAGGAAAGGAAGTGACACCATCCCCTATTTTCCACTATATCCCCCAACACTAGATTAATTTTCTAACACAATCAAATTCCGCAACAAAAATAATTATGCCTGCATTTGCGTATGAAGCAAACCTTGCATGCAAGTGAATGATCGACTATTTCAAATATGTGGGCTTCATGTATAAATAATACTAATGACGTATTAAGTCATTTAATGGCAACTTGAAATAAATGAGGACAAAAAGATAAATAACGCCCTCGAGAAAAGAGGAAGAATCGATGCATACTTTTCTGCAACAAAGTAATATCAATGCTGTCATCTGTGCCGTTTCTAGCAGCAGGAATATTTATTATGTTGCATAACATATTCATATTGAACAAATCATTATTACAATGACAAGTAACAAAAAGGATTAAAAAAAACTCCTTGGTACTTTATTATGTACTTATAGGCCCTGTTCTCTTGAGTGGATTTGAGGGAATGGATTTGAGGGGATTTGAGAGGATTTGAAAATAATTTTTTTTATCGTTTTTAAGAGCGAATTTGGAGGTAAATAAGAGTGAATTTGAAAATAAAATTTGTGAGAATTAGTATAAAATTGTATTGACATGACATATTAAAAAAAATTATTTTTAAATTCACTCTCATTTACCTCCAAATTTGCTCAAAAAAACGATAAAAAAAATTATCTTCAAATCCTCTCAAATCCCCTCAAATCCACTCAAGAGAACAGGGCCATAATGACACGGGATAGTTATTTGCAAGATAAAAACATTCCATTATACGTATGATCATAAAGGAAAAAGATGGAACGGTAGTAGTCCATCACACATTTTCCAATTCTCAAGGCAGGAAAGTAAAATCAAGCCTAATAATTTGTCTGTTCAGAATCAAACTCGAAATTGCAAAGAGATAAGGGCTCCATTGAGTAAGTTCCAAATTGTCTCCAAAACCAAGAAGAAAAGGGATCTATATATCGTGTAATTTCTAAATTATATATATCCTTCCTAGTTAAATTTGAAGTTTGATACCATTGACCAAACAATATAAGCATATACAGACAGCAATCTCATGTAAAATGAATTAAGTTGGCATCATAAAGTCCATTATCACATACATAAACTAATAGTAGCATCACATAAGTGACCAGTGAGATTAAAATGCAGATTGAATGACAATATATATACCTTGAGAACATAGCCAATTCTGAAAGTGCCCATTATCTGCTCCTTTGATACCAGATAAAGCAAGGGAATAAGTGCAAAGGGGATTTGAACTGACTGAAGAACATTGAGCCACTCATTCAGAACATCTAACGATCCCTCGGAGGTGTCAAATAAAAGAGCAACTATCATGGTTGGGATTATTGCACAACTTCGAGTAATCAATGCCCTCATCCACTTCTTTAATCTCAAATTTAGAAAACCTCCCATGATGAATTGTCCAGCATAAGTACCAGTAATAGTGCTACTTTGACCTGCTGCTAATAACCCAATACCCCATATGTATAAAATTGGAAAAAGTCCACCCCCATATGTCTCCTCAAGATACTGTCCTGCATTTGCAAGACCAATGCTGTTTGCAAGTTCAGAACCATAAAAACCCTTGGCGAACACTGTTGTCACAAATATATTTATGATAAAGGAGACAACAAGGGCAAGGGTGGACTCTATAGAGTAATAATTAAGAGCTTCTTGAACCCGGCCTTTCTTGCTGCGGTCAACCTGCCTTGACTGAACGAGAGCAGAGTGCAAGAACACATTGTGCGGCATAATAAGGCACCCCACAACTCCAACAGCCTGTTGTATAGTTCTGGAGCTGAGTTTTGGAATCAAAACGCCTGCAGATATAAAATCAAACCCTCCATGAGATTCAAAACAAAAGGGACCTCACACTTACTTGTAATGACTTGTAATGACTAATGTGTTAAAATTCCTTACCAAGAAGCAGTTCCTTGCCACTGGGCTTTGCTTCACCAAACATCCACGCGAACGAGATTGCCATCACACCAATGAGAACAGCAAAAAGAGCTTCTAGTGTCCTCACACCATAGTTCTCTAGAAAGAGAAAAATAAAACTACAAAAAAGCAACAAAATATACATGTACCCATGTTTAATTTTGGATTACCCTGAAGGCAGACATAGTAAAACATAACAAAAAATGCTATGGGTAGTAGAGAGGTCTAAGCATTTTGGTATAGTTATTTTTGGGAAAATAAACATACCCAGCTAGAATCTATTCATGATAGTGGCCAATACCTTATATTTCCTAATATCTGTAAAATATCTCCTTAACAAAAAAAAAAATACAATGATGACTTCAACTTCACTTTTGAACTTAAATAGCAATCATATGTATAAACCAACCCCAGCGACAGAACAACCCATAATTTATCATGGCTGGGACACGACCTATCAACATCTCTGACAGCTTAATGAAGGAAGGAATTTAGGCAAATATTGCAATAAAAAAATGTGGTAAGTACATAGACATAAATAGTAGTTCTGCAATTTGAAAATTACAGTAACACGCACAGCACAAACAAGTACAACATCGGAGCAATGAAATTACCAATCAAGAGCAGTGATGACGACTCCCGCCCAAAGGGGCACAACCCCACGACTGAGAATCCTGATGGCAATAGCGCTTCCAATAACTTCCTGAATATCAGAGCCAATAAGAGCGAGTTCGGCCATGATCCAAAGCACTATCCGGGCCCACGCAGGGTACTCTTCCCTGCAGAGTTCAGCGAGGTGCTTCCCGGTGGCGACGCCGAGGCGGGCAGAGAGGAGCTGGATCAAGAGGCCCATGGCCGTTGCCCACATCAAAAGCCACAGCAGGGAGTAGCCGGCAATAGCTCCGGCCTGAAGGTCCCCCTCGAGGTTGCCCGGGTCCAGAAACGCTATGCTCATGAGAAAGCCCGGCCCAGTAAAGAGCCATAGCTTCTTCCATGAGAAAGGAGGCACTCTCCCCCAATTGTCCTCGCTATCGGACTCGTCGATTCCCACGACCACGATCTTCTCGGAGGATTCGTAGGCAGTTTCTTGCAGCTCCTCTTCTGCCTGAAAGGAGTCCGGCAACAATGGCTGCTCTTCCGTGTTCCCAGACATGGCGTTGGAATCTTATCAGTGCAGCGAGAAGAGACGTTGACGAATAAAAGCTACCCCCTTTTGGATTATTTTAATGGTAAAGGGTGCTGTGAGTGTCACCATGTCACGTGCCGTCTCAATCTTGTGATGTGTTTACATGAGGTGGAGGACTTCCTTCGTGATCTCGGCCCATGGTGGGAGTGTGTGCAGCACGCATACGGAATATATCTTTGTGTGCGTACCACCATCCTCTACACGTCAGCTTTTCCATAACTGGTTTCCTTCAAAGCACCAAAACATGTTATTTCCTTCCCATTCGCAAATTTTTAAGAAAAATTAAGTGAGATCTTCGATGCACAAATGTTGTGTTGTAGCACAATTTAGATCATGAGACAATTTCTATGAATTTATGTTAAGTACGATTTTAAATTGCTGTTACCGTTCTTCATTCCATCAAAATTTCTACAAAATGAGAACCAAATGGATGATAAAATCATAATAAAGTCACAACATCTTCTAAACGAACCATACTTATAAATTGCACTTACGCAGAAACATACAAGTTTTAATTCTTTTTAATGTAGAAGTTGTTCCTATGATCACGATTTTAAGGGTTTTTTTTTTTTTTTAAGTAGAAGATTTTCCTAAGATACGGATATGTTTACAGGAAAAAGCATGGCGACAGTGAGAGTAACGACAATGGAGGAAGAAGGGAGCAGAAGCTGACAAACGTTGGCGGGCCTCCAGGAGCGTGCAACAGCGATGGTGGTAGAGAACTACTGGATACACGTGCCTTCACACTGGCAGCTACCTACCTATGTTTCTTACTGTACTGCACCTCTACATAAAAAGGTTTCTATATTATATAATTTTTAAGTTATTTTTTTCTTTTTAAATCTTACAATTTAAAAATTAAAAGTAATTTTCATCAAAATTAATTTTTAGAAATTGAAGAAATCAATAAAAAATAATTTTTGAATTAGATAATTTAAAAATTATTTAACTTTTAAATTATAATTTAAAAATTATTTTTTTCTAGTTATATAATTTGAAAGCTTACAAAATAATTATATAATTCAAAAGTTATTTTTTATTTTTAAGTTGTACAACTTAAAAAATAAAAGGGAATTTCTTTTATATAAAAGTAAAACGAAAGGAGAAGAAAAATAAAATTAATTAGAAGAGTTTAAGTGAAAATTAAACAGAAAATGAGATGAATTACCGAGCACTGAAAATGAGTTTATTTTGAAATTTATGGGTTTTGTTTTTCTTAATTTTACTTATGGGAGAAATGATAAATCAAAATGACAATTATAATTACAAAATCATAAAAATGAAAGGAGTAGAAATTAAACTATGAATGTGATGGTAAATTCAATATTAAGTTTAAATTTAAATTTGAAATTCATTGCGTTTTGTTCTTTTTAATTTCACTTTTATGGTAAATGATAAATTAGAATGACAACTTCATGTTTATATTGACCAAACAAGTGTGAATTGTTTAAAATAAACTTACAAGATGTGATTTACTTTGAAAAGTAATCTTCTGGTTTTCGTTGATTTTCAATTAGTTGGTATATTAATGCAGTTGTTCTTGAAAACTACTCAATATTCTGAAATCTGCTCAAATCTAGAACATGTATAATTTGTTATAATATTTTTATTCTTTTTACAAACATGAAATGAAAATATGTTTATCAACATGAAACTCGAAAGGGAACGAGCTGATGTCTCTTTTTTTAATAAGGCGATAGAGTCAATAACAACAATTTTCTCTATTCATAACTCTCTTCAATAATTTGTTCTTGTTAAATCATTTAGTACATGTGTAGGAGCTTCATTTTTTACTTTGACATTGGTTATGTGTAGGAAAGGGAAAAATATATTCCGAAATATTGTTTTCCAGGAAAATATGTTTTTAGAATTATTTTTAAGAGTTGACTTCAGAAATTCTCTTTCACATACCTTTCAGAGGGGAAAAGATATAACACAACCCTTTAATCAAAAATCAACATCAACATCATCAATTATTTTGTTATTAAAGTGGAAAACAAATGAATAAACAGAGCAAGAGCAACAAATTGCGGTGTTGCAAGTTGTTGTGTGTAGATGTGAGAAAGGATTGAGATGAGAAAGAAACATATTAGATAAGTGAGAGATGAATTACGATTAAGTGAGTGTTTATGATTTTTTTAGTTAAGACTAATGTAAAGATGAGAGAGATAATGTTGAAGTGAAAAAGATAAAAGAGAAAGAGTTGAAATGAATGAGAGATTAAATATATATAAATTTTTAAAACTCAGGTGTTACATACCCAAGTAGGTATTTTGGCAACTTCGTGCTTATATTATATATTAGTAGATATTTTACCGATCTAATTGGATAATCTTGCTTTGCATTTGAGAGTAGGAAGTTGTGGACCACAACTTGTGGTAGACCTTTTGCTAACTTGATTGGTAGATTATTATAACCTGCACTTAATACTGTATTGTTAGACATTTTACAATTTAATTAGTAATCTTTTTCTAAAATCATTACAAGAAAGAACTACCGGAATACGACAATCATCCTTACAATTTTTTTTCCTACTATAAAAAAACCATAATTTATTATTAACTACTAATTATAAAATAAAAATGAATTATTAGCATACCTTATTTGGTTAATTGATCTTTTAAGTACAGCCAAATCAATATTCTGGTAAAGATAGTTAAAATAAATAAGTAATAGAAAAAAATAAAACATTATAAACTCCAATTATAACTTAAAAAAAAAACTAATTATAAATACGAGGCTACAAACCAAATCAAAAATCTTAATACTAAATAATTTAACTTGAGAGATCCCTTGAAAATTTTCTTAGTTTTGTAAGTCAAATTTATCTGACACTTAAAGTTTAATTAAGTTAAATCAGTATGTATGGATTTTTCTTCTTCATGGGATATTCAAACAAGAAAATCGAAATTTTTCTCTCATTTTCAGGTAGGTTGTTTTACCTGTACTTCTAATCATTTTATCTTATACTTTCAAAAAAAATTTAAATTTTAAAACTGTCCTCACACCTCACTTTTTGTGGTTTATCAGGTCTCAACAGAACTTTTTTTTATCAAATTTTAAAATTCAATCAAACTTTTTTAATTTTTTTCATGAAATTTTTGAAAAATCTTTCGTCAAATTTCAAAATTCGATAAAAAATATCATTCATCAAATTTCAAAAAGTTGATGAATAAAAATGTAACCTAGGACTATTTAAAAGAATTGGAGGTTCATAATTAAATATTTAGAATTATAGGATGAAACAGATGAACCGAACCCATTTTTTCACATTGATCCACGTATTTTAGGCCGTTGCATTTTACATTATGAGAGCTACTCTCTCCACCACCCCAACCATTCCTTACACCTACCCAATTTTTTCTAATTACAAAACTATCCTTTTATTTTAATCTTTTACTTTTTTTTTTTATGAAACACTAAATCCCTAACTCTCATTTTCACTGACAGCCGCGCAGCCCCACCCCCCAACTCTCACTTTCTCATTTTCTCTCCAAATCCGTTTCTTCCCATCCTATTTCTTTTCATCCCATTCTCCATATTTGTTTCCCATTCTCCATATCTGTTTCCACTTCATTCGTTTTTTCTTCTCCATTTTGGTCCCCTGGTTGTGTGTTCGTGATGCGGTTGTGGTGCGGTGATTCTGGGCACTGTTACACCTATCGGAGTTTCTCTCTCGTGTCTTTTTGTTAAATAGTTTTGAGAATGAGGGTTTGTGCTCTGGATTTGCGATTCTGTAATCCATTTATGGACCTGATGTTTGTTCTGTGTCCCAATGCTGCTTCTGGATTCATGCATGTCGATTTTATGCTTCACTTTTGTCCTAAAATTCTGGGTTCAGTGTCTCTTTCAAGTGATTTGTTGTTTTAATTGATGGAATATTTAGTATTTAATGAAAATGAGAATATTTATTAGATTGAAAGCATATAACATGTGCCGTATATTAAATTTTAATGTTATTGAAATTTGTATTCTTAATATTTTAGCTTTTTGAGTTGGATAACTTTTGGTTTCCCTCACAATTCTCTTTCAAACACAGAGTTGTGTTCTTGTCAGGCATAAACTATTGGAGGATTGCATGGGCATTTTGATTCAACCCAACCTTTACATTGCATTTGGTCGTGTGTTTATGTGAATGTAATGCTTAGTCATTTTTTTGTCGCCTAAGACCATTCTATATCACTTCTATGTTGAGCAGATGTTGATATGCATTTACTTCTTAAACGGATGTCAACATCCGTGATATTGACATCCGTTTGTCTCAACGTTCTCTGGAACAATCATTTGGTGAAGGTCTCTGATGAGAACAAGATGAGCATAAGACAATTACTTGAAGCAGTGTTTGGGTACAAGCATGATTTCTTGTGTGTTACAACAGTTATAGTGGTTGGGTTCTGCATGTTTTTCGCAGTTATATTTGCCTTCGCAATTAAATACTTCAATTTTCAAAGGAGATGATGGGATATACTTGTTAGTTTTTTAATACCTCAAAAAATAAGCGTAACATCTGTATATCGATATGATATAAGATAGCATTAATAGCCTCTGCTTTTACATGATTCAGGGACATATTTGTTGTAAAGTGACCTATTATTGGTTCATAAGGTTTTTGTTAGATATAGAATCCGATATTACTCATTGGTAAAGACACATTTTGGTGAAAGTGAACAATAAAATTATATAATTATCTCCTTATTTTGTCACTTGATCCTATCCTATCCGTTATACTTCTGTTTCTTCATTTTTTTTAATTTCTTATTGAATGCTTTTAAGAACTCTATTCTCATTTGTATATTGAGGATGTGTGGTGTTTTTAAGATGTAGACAATGAAGTAAAAAGAACAATCTCAAATATGACTGCAAAAGAGATTGAAGATTTTAATTACCTGATTTCACTAAAAAATAATTCTTCAAAATGCATACCACTATTGATCTGATATAGCAAAGTTTATAAATAAAATACTAATATCTCAACTTAATAGCAAGGTAAGAAAACAACTCTGAAAGCTTAGTGATTAAGCAAAGAATTATAAGTTGACATAACAGTTCAATAAGTTTTCATTTCTTTATAGTTTGTTTCAAACGTAGAAAAATAGGAAAAAGAATTGTAATCGATAAAAAGAAAAAAGTTATATATATATATATATATATATATATATATATATATATATATGGGATAACAAAATTATAATTGAATAAACAATAATGATTTCATTCAAATGGTTGGTTAGTTGTTGAGTAAAATAATAAAAGTAGAAATTAAATATTACTGAAGATAAAATGGAAATGAGAAAGTGTAGGAAGCATAGTGTGTGGTGGCGGAAG